TGTATCTGTATCTGTATCTGTATCTGTATCTGTATCTGCATCTATATCTGTATCTAACTCGATATCTATATCTACATACAACAAAAGTCTGTATACGTTTATATCTGTTTGTCTTTATACAAATACATCTACATCTATAATCCATTTCAATCTTCTATATCTTTTTTTATTTATCATTTACTCAGGCGACATTACGTCAATCTATGCTAGGCCATCAAAATGCGAAAAGCCATAAACAAACAGCAAAAATATTCGAAGCAGAACGTCGCTCGATTTTCATTGGTCAGCTAAAATGCCGAATCGAGGGTGTCTATGAGGGAGGGAGGAGTTGTTTTTTAGTAGGGTGTCGCATTGAATAGAAACGGAAACAAAGCGTGCGTTGGTTGAAGAGAGGGGGCGGGCCCCAACGGGGTGGTTCAGTTTGCTATTGCTAATGAGGCGCAGTTGTTGGTTGGGCTTACGAGGTGTCTCCGTATGTGTGTATGCATGTGTGAGTGTGACTTTGTGTGCACCTGTATGTGTGTGAGTGCAAATGTGTGTCAAAATATGCGAGTATGACATAATTTTAATGAACGGATGACATTCATTACAATGCATTTGCCAATGCAATTGTTTGTCTCGCTCACACATACTCTCTCTCCCTCTCTCCATCGTTCTATCTTGCTCTTTTCCCTCTCTTTCATGTGCATGATACATATGTATATACCCCGAGCTAGGGTTAGTCATAAGCCAACTGAAATAAGTACCTACGAAGGCTTGTCTTGATGACTTTCAAAGCTAATATTGAATATTTATTCGTGCACTTGTCTGAGCAGGGTATGAAATAGTCAGCGACCCCTTTCGTGTCACGCTCTAAATACTAAGTATTCAGCCATTCTGCACACTTTACGAATTCCAGTTACAGTTATGCCTGCTGCAGGGACAAAAGCTTGAGTTGCGCTGGTCAAAAACTGAGTGCAGCATGCAGTCAAGCGAAGCAGTGAGCCTTTGGTTCTTGGCCCAAACCGGAGAGGGCTTCGAGCTACAGTAGACTGAGGTAAAAGCCAGCCGATGGTAGTTAATGGCTCGCTTGAGTGCACCATTTCATTTATTGATGAGAATTCGGCTGTGGCTAAAGCTGTCAGATAGGGCAATGCTGGACATACGGGACGTATACTTCATTTCAAAAATATATATGAAATCTAATTGTGGCCATGGGGCTTTGGGCTTAAGGTATATCACTTATATTGTAAGCATATGGTATATAAAAAAAATTGTAGTACAGTCGAGTCTCTACGATTTGTATCCCACTAAATCGCAATAAATCGAAAAAAATGCTATCCCTTGAAAATAGCTCGTTCATATATAAAACTTTCCCATTCAGCTTTGATTGGATAAAAAAACTAAAAATTTGTGTTAGAAAATATGAGTTTAACCAGAAATAACTGTAAATGGATAAAACAGACTTTTAAATTGCAACAGAATTATAGAATAATTATGATGGCAATAAAGCGAATGGGATTTACCTATATATAGAATATTTATATAGATGTGTTTATTCCCTATTTTATACGTAGTTAGACTTGGGAAATAATAACAATGAGGGATGACAGATGGAAGACAAAAATATATAAAATGTACATTGCCATTGGTTTAATATTATTATATTATATACAATATATGTACTTTCAGAACTATGTATATACATGTAAAACTCGATGCTTATTTATACATACATACATACATGTATTTTCATACACAATCAACAATCATAAGTGGCAATCGATCAAAACCGAAGCGCAGTTCGAAGGAAAAGCAGCGCAAATTAATTGCGAATTTTGTACAGCTAAATGCAAATACAACAACAACAACAACAATAAAGAAAACAAACACAATAGCAAACAATTGAAACTTTGGACAAACAAAAGACATCGTCAGATATGTTTGCAAATTGAATTTCAAGTAAATATGAGCAATGCCAATGCAACAACTGCAAAAGATACGCTAACACAGACATATACAGGCACACACACGCACACACATACACACAGAGAGAGAGGCAAACTATAGTTGGTCTATCTGTATCTGCGTCTGCATCTGTAGTCGTATCTGTGCATCTGCAACTGTGCGAATGTATCTGTAGCTATGCTCGCCTCGTGTATTCTGTGTGTATTCTCTGGCAGCCTGAATCGCTGTGTGTGTATCTATCGAATGCATTTTACGCTTTTAAAGGAATTTGTGTAGTTTATGGATGCGACGCTGCAGCGTGTGCCCTTGCCAGCCTCCCACTTCCCTCCCTCTCACTCTCTCTCTCTATCTCTCTGCTCATGTCTCGCTCTATGACTGTACTCAGCAGCAGCAGCAGCAGCAGCAGCAGCAGTCATGGCAACGACGTCATCGACATTATCAACGCCGCGACTCTCGGCATTGCCCGAGAGAAGAACGTCGCGACTTGCCGCAGCAATGGCGGCCTCCGCGTAGAAAAAAAAAAGAAGAACTAGCCACAACAACAACAACAACGACAACAGCAGCGGCAACTTGAACAAGAAAAAGTAACAACTAGAATGCAGTTGATGCCATTGCATCTGGCGGGTCGCAGTGAGTCAAGTCTGACTCTTGCCTCTCTGTGTATCCCA